TAAAAATATAAATTAACTATACCATACATTTATATTAAAATAAAGAACTCTTAATTAAAATTATTTCGATATGCTATTAGTATTCTCAATAAGAATAGATTCTAATTTAATATTTGCCTTTTTCAAATTTTTAAATAACTTATTTATTGATTGGAAACAAAAATTCCTTCTATTGATTTTTTTGAAATATCAAAATTATGTTTAATCATATAAATAAGGTTAAAGGTTGAAATTTAGTTAAGTAGTTGATATCTCTCCAGAGTGTTAGATTTGATAATTTTATAACATTAAAGTTATTTAATTTTTAATTGCTATAATTCTCATCTATCAAGAGTAAAATTTTTATTATTGTATATCCTGTTTAGAAAATACTGATAATAATATCATTAAAATTATTCTAATATTTATACTTTATTACCATTTCTAAAACCTTAACACACCCATACACATGGGTATAAATCATAAGTTGTATCTATTTAAAGATTCTATTATGGAATAGAATTAGAATAATTACGAATAATTGTTTTGTGTTGGCTTTGGTCCATTTTACATATCTGTTATAAATGTCAACTTCTTCAATTACGATATCATAAATTGTGAAATCAAATGATATTTATTTACCATTTTTATCTTTTTCATAGTGTGAATAACAACTTTTATCTTAATTTATTGTATAGGATCTAATAGCATAAAATAACTTAATACTCATAGCCAATACCATTATTTCCACCATTATTATTTTTTAGATTATTTCTCTCATTCCAATACCAATATAACAATAATTACTTAATTAAATGATTTTGAATGCAAATGATGTAACTCCATTTTTAGGAATAGCTTGATCAAAAAGATAGTAACCAAAATTAAAAAACATCTTTCCATTTTATGTTACTTCACAACTGGAATATTTATGTATTTATGAAAAAGTTAATTACTACTAATATGATGAAGATTATAATAATAAGAATATTGATGAAATACTACTACTTTACAAAATGGTTGAAATTTAGGAGCAGGGTTATTCAAAATCTATTCTAAATTTAGATTTTCTTTTTTAATTGATTCAATTTTTTCTTTTAATTAGTTTATATCTTAATCTTTTCCTTTGATTTATTTTTCTAATGAGTTCTTTCATTCTAAATTTTCTTTTTTTATTTATTCATTTGCATCTTTCATTTTTTTAATTCATTCTAAAAAAAGTTAATTATTCTTATTTTTCTTTTTGAAGATTCTCAAATTATTTTTTTTATAACTCAATTTCATTCAATTTTTAATTGATTCCTAAAAATTCTTAAAATTAATTGTAATCTTAATTGAATTTTTTTGAATAATTTTTGAATTCATTGAATATACTTAGAAATTTTAATAGTTTTCTATTCTATTGTTTAAAATCTATTATATATTCTACACATCCTCTTTGATCTTTACATACTAATCAATAGTTTCAATAAATATTTTTTATGAGATTTCAAAATTAGTTGTTCTTTACTTAAATTATAAAATTTATTCTATTACTTTATCGGTAGATTCTTATGTTTTATCATGATCTTTATTTTAAGTTGATTATAATAAATTATCAATTTAATTAATTACATTATTATCATTAATAATTATTTAATTTATTCTTTAAACATTTATTTATTAATACTAAATTAGATATTTATATTTAGATTTTAAATGCTAATAAAATATTTTATCAATATTTTCAATATTAATTTTATGATCTTTCCATGTGTTAAATTTTTCAATTTAACTTAATTAATTGATTATTTCATTCTTATTAATATAAGGATTTAGTATTAATTTAATTCTAATACAAATGTTCTTTTGATTATTATTAATTATTAAGAGATTCTACTAATTCATCAAATTTTTAATCATTTTACAATTTAATCTCTTCTTCTATCATTTTAAGTATTTTCTAATTTAATAAAATTCCTTGTATAGTGTAAATTATTTAAACTAGTTTAAATTTTCTTTAATAGGAATCTCATTAAATAGAGACTTCTTCTAAAGGAGTGTATTATGCAGGATATTATTAAATACATTTAACACAAGCCATTTTAGGTTATGAATTGGAATTCGCATTTAAATTAAACATTATAATTTCTTTTGTATGTTCTTGACAGATAATTTCCAATGCAGATGTTTTCTAATTTATTATAATTTATAATAGTATACATTATCTTTTGCTTTTATCATAATTTTATTCATTATTTTCTTAATCCTATTCTATTTTTTGATTCGTATTATTAATTGAATGACTCATTAATTTATAATACTATTCAGAATTTATGGAAGATTCCAATTACTTCTAAATTTATTCAACAAGCTTATGATGATCTTCAATAATTTTAATTTATTATTCATTATTTTAATATTCTTTATATTAGGACAAACTTTCAATGTCTTCTTCAAAATTGAATATAATTGATTATAATTCAATATTTGCTACATCGCTTTATATCTAATTAAATTTAGATAAAATATTATTAAATATTTTATCAAATATAGAATCTATGTTTTATTTCAGTTCTTTTAATAATTATTCAATTCCATTGAAATTGTCTAGTCTCTTTTTATTATCTATAATTCTCTAATTTTCTTAATTCATTTTCATTTCTTTAATCATAAAATTTTTTTCATTAATTAAATTCATTTTCTTCTTATTTACTCTTTCAATAATACACCTTATACATAAACATCTATCTTCTTAAGAAATCTTTGAATCAAGGCCCACTAAAATTATTTCTAATTTATGTTTTTAACACATATTCATATCTTGCTATTCCATTTTCTTTCAAATTTATTAATTAGTTAAATTAATATAAATTGATGAGTCTTTTATTCATTTTAATAAAAAATTTATAGATTATTGTTATTATGTTAAAATAACAAAATATTTAACTATTCTAAATTCTAAACATTTCTAATATTTTTTTAAACCAACTGAATTATTTATTAAAGAAAATAATCTAAATTAAAAAATCTCTCAATTAGATAGAAATTAAAATTCTTTCTTTTGGAGATTTTAATTTCATTTGCAATTCATTTAATACTAGAGTAAAAAAAAGTATATTAAACTTTATATAATAAGTATGACTCATACACATGAGATTTCATAATTTTTCATTCTAATGAAAATGAATCTTCAAATGATATTTATGTATCAAAAAAATTATACATTATAGATTTAATAAATTTATAAGATGAATGAATACATCTTTCATATTGCTTTTTTAGTCTAGTTTAAACGTATTATAATATTATATAAAAATTACCTTCATAAAAATTAACTCAAACAATATATAAATTAATTCACTTTATAGAAATGGGAAATAAATTTTTCTCTTCGATCAAGGCTTAGAATTCTTTAATTTGTCTTCTAACTTTCTGATTTTAATTGTCTTTAAAAGATATCTTTCTAAATTTTATATTCGGCCTTTACAACATAATTTAATTTTTTTAATATTTATTTATCTCACTTATTTTATATATATCAAAATTTTATGTAGCTTTAATTTAGTTTTTTTATATTTGAATATAGAGTCAATTTTGAGGCAGTAAACATCTGATCTTAATGAATTGATTTTTTTTAATATAGATTAAACTTATATACTTATAATTTAAAAGTTATTTTTATATCTCACAGGATTTAATCAAATAGATGATTTAAGAGGAAATTTTTTATAAGTTTTTTTATTCTCAAATTGACAGTCATTACAAATACAGTTAGCAAGATTATTAAAAGTTTACATTTTCTTTCTTAGTTTTGATTTTATCTATCATCGATAGAATATTCTTCGGAAATTATATTTATTTTTTATTTCTATTAGCACTAATTTAAATTGCATTCTATCAAATATAAATATGGATTAAATTAGAATCTGTCTAATAATATATTTTTTCTAATTCAGTAAAATCATATTAGTAGATTTCAATCGATTAAATAAAAACTCAAAATATTTTTATTGTTAAAGCTAAATCCTCAAAATTTTTATCTTAATTAAATATTTAACTTATAAATCTAAAATTTTAATTAATTTATAATTTCTATCTTTTATATTAATTTTGAACTTAAGCTTCGACAGAATAATTATATTATGTTGAGAGATGATTGATATTGTATTTTACATAATCCATAAACCATAGAAGTATGATCATTAATTGTCTAGGAACAAAACCATGTTTTCTAGTCTTAATGATTTATTAATTATTAATTGGAAATATGATTAGACCAAAATTTGATAGTCTTATCATCAGATCCACTAACTATAAGATTTTCATTTATTGGATGAACAACTAAACAATTAATATATGATTAATGACCCTTTAATTTTATTAGGTATTTTGGATTTTATAAGAGATTTGTTGACCATATAATTATAGAAGTATCTTCTGAACTAGAAATCAAATGTTATCTACTTCGTAATATATTAAGAGTTGTGATTAAGTAAGAATGAGCTCTTAGTTATTAAATCTACTTCATAAATCCATCTGCAAATTAGAAAATTTTAATATCCTAATTTGCTGCCAAAGCTAAGAGTGTTCTAGTATGATTAAAAGACATAGCATAGCACCATTATTTTTATTTATAAGTCATTTCTGGGAGAAGTTCATACATAGGTTATTGAATTTTGTCCTTTTTTTCTCCTTTATCTTATATCATATTATAAAAATTATTTGAGAACTTTGAAAATTGTATAATAATTATCAATCAAATTATATATTCTTTTTAATTATAAAACAAAACAAAATAATCATTAATAAAATCAAATATTGTTTTGTAATGGAATACTTCTTTATAAGATCATGTTTATTAATCATTTTGAACATTCTCTTATCAAATAACTATAATTTCTCATTTCTCAAATGCCTGAAGATAGATATTATTATTTATCATAATGTATCTCCATTTTTATGTTATCAACTAGAATTACTTAAGTTTTATTTACATAAATAGCATATAATTATGAATTACATTTAATTTTTGAATTAAGTAGCTAAAACAAATATGATTTTATCTCTACTATTTCTTAATAAATTTAGGTTTAATGTAAATTTAAAACTCAATATTTGTATATTCAATTTTAATCTAATGTTAGTAATTTCATTGGAGGGTTTTCTCCTTTATTATTGGATAATTGCTATGTCTTTGAAAATCAATATTTCTAAATCATAATATTCATGAAGATTCTAGAAATTGCTTTATTGATTTATGGACTTAAATTATTTATTTTATATCTATTATTAGGGATTATGTATTAATTAATTTATTAATCTACAATATTTGTCATCTAATAATAAACATCATTTTTAAGCAATTTATACAATTTTCGATTTTATACACCTGCTCTTTGAATACTTGTTTATTTTTTTTAATATCAGAATAATATTAATTTTCAAATTGACTGATATCATTATATTCAATCTTTAATTTTATTTTTATTCTAATTATTTAATTATTACAGAATAAATAAGTATAATATTTTGAAGATCATGAATTTTTTAGAAGTTAAATCATTAAAACTTCTCTTTATTAAATAAAAAGGGTTTTTTCTTGACGACTATCAGAATATCAGAAAAATAAATTATAATACTTAATCATTATTGATCTATTAAATTTATCTAGATAAAATAATATTTTTTTTATTAATTTGACTAAAAATGCTAGTAGATAATATTTATATCATGTGTATAACATTTAATTAATCTCTGATAATAATTTATTCAATAATTAAGTAGTAATAAAAATCTTTTGAATTTTAATAACCCTATTATTTTTGAATATTTGGAAAGATAATCCCTTTGATTATTGATTTTATTTGGAATAATTAGATATAATTAAAAAACACTATGCATAAATTATTTTTTCCATAAATTTATTTAATTTAATAGAATTTGATATTTATTAGATGTAGAAAAGTAGCAGATGATAAATTTATTTCATATCAAAAAAATAATAAAAATCATTAACAAATGAATATTATTACATCTTAAATATAATAATAACTGTCTGAGAATGAAGTTATGGTTTGTAAAATTCATAAACGAGAAATAATTGCTATAGAATTAGAATCATCAGAAAAATCCTAATTATAATACTTATGCTGTAATTGTTTAGTTGAGAAAATGAATAATAATAAAATATCAACTATTGAATAAACAAAAGATAGAATTTAATCTCTGAAATCTTAAAGATAAGAGAATAAGATTAAAGAGATTCAAATCAGGTTGGATTACTTTAAAAACATACTTGATTAAATTATGGAATTTAAATGTAACCTAGAAAATAGTTTAGAAAAGATTTATAGTCAAATAAAAGCTCAAATATTTGTAATTCAAAAAGAAAAATAGACTTTTTTAGAAAATTCTTCAATTTAAAATAATTTCTAAGAAGATGTTAAATCACTTTCACAATTCCTTTTAATTGAAACCTAGGAAAATAATTTATAAACTTTTTAAGATAATTCTTTTATTGATGAAATTTTTAATTAATTTGAGCTTTTATTTAACAATTCAGTATACTTCTAAACAATAGACACTTTTAAGGCTGCCAAATAGAAAATTTAAGAAATTAATGAAAATACAAAAATTTAATTGAATACATTACAAAATAAAAATAATTAAGTAAAAAAATTCTTATTGTTTAGAAAACACCTAGCTTAAATCGTATTTGTTCAACACATAATAAGGAAATCATAATGATTGATATAGATAGCAAAAATAAAAAAATAGAAGATAGATTTGTTTGTGTTGATTGCATTAGTAATCATCCTCAATAGTAATATAGAACAATTGAAGAAGTAAATTAACAATGGAATCATACAAATAAACAATTAGAATAAATTATATATGATTTAAAAATAAAGAGGTAAGAAAAATAAGAGAAATTGAATTAATAGATTGCTATTATGAGAAAGAATTATAATTAATAACTTAATGAAATTAGTGATAAAGTAATAAAAGAATTTTATTAACCTACAAGTAAGATTATTGAAATTGGTAAAATTAAGTAGATATCAATTCAAGATTTAAGTCCTGAAGAATTGATTTAAAATATTAATTATTTAATTTAACAAGATAAAGAAAATCGTAGTGAGGATTCAAATATTTAATATATAAAATCTAAAGATTAACTATTTTAAAAAGAGATTGAAAATCGATTAGAAAATTTAAAATAACATGATTAATTAGATATTTAAGAGTCAATAAATATCTTATAAGATATATAGAGTATTCAAATTTAATTATTTTAGATGAAAATCTTATCAAAGGAATTTTCTTATTATCTTAACAAATTTTGGAGGGTACAAAAGTAAATTAAGAATAATTGATATTTAAATAAGAATTAGATGAACTTATAAATTCTTCAAAATAAATTTATTGTTAGATGAGTTTATTTAATTAAGCCATTCATACCTTTTAAGAACATCTTTCTAAAATAAAAGCATTTAACAATAGAATGAAATCATTTCCAGATCATGTCAATCTTACAAATTTATAGAAATTATTTAATGAATATAATAATAAATTTGAAAATGATTTCCAAAATTTCAAGAAGTTTAATGAAATTGAGATATTAGAGAATAATTTAGAAACTCTACAATAGGACTATAAGAAACTATAATTAGAGAGTAAAACTATAATTTTATATTTAGAAAATTTACTTATGGAAACTTTAGAAAATGACTATAAATTAGTAATATAAAATTAAAATAAAATAGATGAACTTAAATTAGTTGTAAAAGATATAGAATCTAAGTTTGAAGAAAAAGAGTAATAATTGAATCTAAAATTGAAAGAAGAAAAAAATAATAATGATCAATATGAAAAAAAATTAGATGAATTATAAATTCAAAATCAACATTAGATCTAAGAACTAAATCAAAAATTAGGAGAATAAGATAAAATTATTTTAAAATATTAGTTGGAATTAGAGAAATTGATATCTATTGATGAAATAATAAATTTAAAACCTAAATTAGCAAGTGATGATTTTTGGCTAACTCTATTTTTCTAAATACAGTCTAAATGTAGAAAAACAATAAAAAGCACAAACTTAATTTATTTAGGAACAAGGGATGGGTTGAATTCAAATTCTTTTTGGGATAAAGTAAATGGAAAGATAAATTTACTTATGATATTTAAATCAAAAAGCGAATTTATTTTTGGTGGTTACACTCCTTGTAAATAAATCAAAAATGATGGTGGATAATATATAGCAGATGATACATTGGCTTCATTCATCTTTTCTTAAACAAAAAACTAAATTTACCATCTTAAACCAGATAGAAAACAATATGCTATGTGGCACCAAACATCCTATGGACCGGTATTTGGTACTTAAAATGGAAATGATATTCTTATTAGATAAGATTTTTAGACTGGGTCTTCTTCATTGGGATATAATTATGATTGTTCTCAGTTCAAAATAGAAAATATATCAACTCATCTATTTGGCTAATCAACACCAAATATTGAAGAATGTGAAATTTATGAAATATAATTTGGTTGAATTATCAAATTTTAAAAACTATCTAATTATTAATTTAGCAGCTTTAGATTTCAAGTTCTCATCAGAAAAGATTTCTTTGATATTTAAAATGAGAACAATAATTATTTAATTTAAACTTCAGATAGTTTATTGTAGTTTTTCTATTTTAGTTAAAAATAAATTAAAAATCTATGTGACAGTAAAAGTGCAATTTTGCTTTTTGCTATTATATAAACACAGCTTTATCGTTATAAAATTAAATTTTTCATTTAGTATATAATCCAAAAAAGAGGGTGATAAGAAACGGCCATGAACATTATTTTTCTGAATTTAATTAATTTTATTATTTATTTAGTTGTTTTAGTCTTTCTGAAATAGTCTAAGAATATCCAACTTTAGTTTTTCTTGTTTTAATCAATTCTAAAGGTGTATTTATATAACTTATAAATTTTTACATAATTCTATTTATTAACTTATATTATATTAGTTTAGATAATTTTATTTGATTGTCATTAAATTTTTTTGTGATTTCTATTCTGTTTTTTATCTCAATTTATTATTTTATCTTATTAAAAGGACTTTCTAAGCTATTTAACTAAATCAAAGAAGGTAAATTCTTCTAGAATTATTACTAGATTATTAATTGCAAATTATGATAAATAAATTAGTACATAATCTAAATATATTTTGAATCACATTATATATAATTAATTAGCTAAGTTAATAAAAAAGATAAAAGGTTGATATTTTTAGATACTGATATTTAGGGAATAAACAAAAATCTTTAAAAAATTAGATACTTCTCTCTTTGCTATATTATTATTTGATGATAAAATTAGATAAATTTTAGAATTCAATTTATTAAATTCTAACCATTTTAATAAACAAGCGATTTAGCTGCAAAGAAGATTAATTTCAAAATTTTTAGACAACTTCTGACCTGATAATCTATGTTTATTTGGTTTGGAATGGAATGAAAGATCTATTTCTAAGCTATTTAATCTTAATAGAATTTTAATAACTAAGCTTTACATATTGCCAATTATAAGTTTACGAAAATTATTAAATTTAAATTAAAAAAATATTAATAAGATCAAATGAACATTTTCTAAATACTAATATCAACTCAACAAGGCTTCAAATTATTTTGGCAACATTCCCTTCAAAATTGATTCAATATTATATCTGAAAAAATATATTTAAATAATTATAATTTTGCAGATTTAGCATAAAGATTATGATTGATAGATAACATAATGATCTTTTTTGCTTAATAATAAAAATGGATATTAATTTTTTATGACAAATTGAGAAAAGGACTTATGATTTTGAAATTTTTTATCAAACATAATTCATGTGAAGCAAGATTTTTTTAATATTAAGCATTATTAACCAATGATTTTCAATCTAATCTAATTATAATATATTCAATTGATCCAATAAGTACATATTATAAAATAGAATTATATTTTACAAAAGAAGATTTTATTATCCACAACTTTAATATACTCTGAACTTTTGATATCTATATATTTTTAATTATCAAACCAATTTGATTAGAATTAAAATATTCATGATATGATAAATAAATTTAATAATAAATATTTAATGTAAAAATTTTATATTTTAGATAAATTGCCTTGGCCACAATGAGAATGTTGATTATTTTTGTGTAGCTGATATTTATAAGAATTCAATACTTAATTTCAAGAGATAATAAAAGACTTTGATAAAATATTTGAAGAACTATGTTATTTATTCAAAGAGTTAAAATAGCATCTTTATAATAAATTTGAATGGACATTAGATAAGTTAAAATGCTTAAAGGGAAATAACATCAATATAGCCTTGAATAATATGGTTAAATTCAAAGAATACCAGAAGAAGTTTATGATGAATATCAACTAAAATACTTAAATATTACGTCAAACTCTTAATTAAAGTATTCACGAATTATAACTATAAATTAAATCATTTTTTATTAAAAAATAATAATTTAAATTTTAAGTGTACAAGAAGTAATTATTACAATAATAGAGTAGATGGGTCTTTTCTAATTTTATCTTGTAAAGTAATGTAAAATAAAGGAAAATGAGACATGTTAAACAATAGCTTTAAATTCAGATTCATCTTTAGTTATATGTGGATTTTAGAGTTGTATCAAAATTTATGAATTTAATAATTAATCTTTTAAAGAAATACAAATAATTAAAAAAGAGAAACCTTTTAAATTACATTTCATTAATAACACAGATAGATTTATATAATTTACTCATAACTTTATTTAATTAGGACGTCATTAGACTTATAATTAATTTCCTCCTTATTAGACTAATATTGATATTTTTTCAAAAAGCACCAATAGTTAATATAAAAATAATTTTAATAAGACTTTATTTCTGACTTATTATTCATAATGAAAGATGAATCTTTTATGTTGCTCACTAAATTAAATCTAGTCATTATGAATCGTTTACTTATGAATATATATCAAAAAAGTTATGATGAATAATGGGAATTTTTGAGAAGATTAATTTCTTAAGGGTGCTGATTTTTTTAGTGTTGATATTAATGACTCTGAGAATACTATTATTTTTAGCTGTGAACTGATAATTTAGATTATTTAGAGATAAAATTAAGCAAAAAAATGGGATATTTTATAAAAAATCTAAACTTAAGAGAAAAAGCCTTATGACATATTTATCTAGAAATAGTAATTTTTAGCTTTGAAAATTATAGATTGTGTATTTATACTTAAAATTATAATAATAAATAGTTTTAAAAAACAAGAGAAATTAACTTTTTATCTGGAAGATTTATTTCAGCTAATATAATTATTATTCAATTTATAAAAGTAAGTAATTCTTATTAATTTCCATTATTTCATAATTGAATATAATTAAAATTTATGAAAAGGGAGATTTCAAAATTAAATATTGTGTTGAAGATGGTTAGTAAATAAGTATTATTAATAAGAATGGTTAAATTTTAGTAACATCAGATATAGACTGACTCTGGATAAATTTGCCTAAAATAGCTTTAAGAATGAATATTTTATTATTAATAAAATTTAAAATATTATATAAGAATAAATGATACTTGGCCTAATTAGAAAATTGATAATAATACAAAATATAAAAAAAAAGTAAATTATATATGAAGAGAAGGTAAGATTGAATAGTTAAGATAGTATAATGAAAATGAAAAGATTTTATTAATTTAGTCTTTAAATATCAAGTTTATCAAAATATTATTAAATATCTATACTTTAATTGAAATAAAGGTATAAAATTCTCGACTCTATATATAAGAATGATCTTCTTAAAAATTATTATTTTACAGAAGCTTAAATTTATTTGAAGAAGAATATGATTTGAATTATGTGAAGAAAATATTTAAATCTTTAAATAATATTGAGTACAACAATCTTACCCATTTGAAAATAAATATAATTTGCTCCTTTTTTCAGAATCCACTAATTTTGTGATATTTATATGATTGTATATTGAGTAAATGAATTCGTATACTAGACCAAAAACACTAAATCATATGATATTACTTCAAAAAAATAGTAATATATACATCCTATCTTTATGAATTAAAGATTAGTAGATGTAATTAATAAATATTTATATCAATTCTATTGAAACCAAGATATTCATTTACATAATTAAATAAATAATTTATTTAAAATTTTGACTATTTTTTTATTTGTTTATCTCAAATGCAAAAATAAGAAGAAATGTGTGTTTAAATAATCCTAAGATATCTAAAAATGAAGTTGAGAACAAAGAAAAAATTGATTAGCTTATTAAATTTCTATTATTAACACTTAATTTATGAATTAATTTTGTTTCATTATTCTATTTAGAAGTAAATTCATCAACTTTAAGTTTTAATATTAAAATTATTGAAATTCAATAACTTAAATTTTTTTAAGAAAGCAATTTAAATGATTACAATTAAAGATTTTGAATAATTTTAGCTACAAGCTAGTAATCATGACTAAAAAAATATCATTAAATAATACAAATGTGAATCTTGGGAATCACATTATTATAAATCCATTTTGAGGAAATTTAAAATAGTTTTGAATAAAGATAATGAAATCTAATATTTTGTTGATGGTTAACTTTTAAGAATGTAAATAATTGACTCTTAATAAATAGAAAATAAGAAAAAAGTTATGATATAGAACTTGAGGTTTGGACTAATTTGGAATAGATAAAAAATCTTGAATGGTTAGGATCATATGGATAAAATAATTAAAAAGTAGGCAAATGGAAAGCCACATGGATAGGCGAAACTTTACATAATGTAGGTGGATGGTACTTTAATGATGGAAAAAAATAAGGATTATGGAAGGAACTGACAAACAATTATCAATCGTAAGATATCTTAATGATTTATAAGTCAAGCATAAGTTTATGAATTTGGAGAATATTTTAATGGCTTAAGGTAAAATAATTGGGTTTATTTATAATAATAAAAAAAAATGTATTTAAAATAATCAATAATGATATAGTGGTGGTGGAAAATACAATTTGAAAGGTTAAAAGAATGGTAAATGGATTGAATTGATTGATGGATTTTAGAATAACACATAAGTCATTTATACTGGTGAATATAAATATGGAAAAAAAGTAGGTTTATGGGATATTTTGTATAAGAAATATGATAATTTAGCTGAATAATATTTGTAAATTATTTTTATAAGAAGAGGAAATTTATGAATTCTTTAGTGGTGGTGGACTATATGACAAAGAATGTAATGGAATGAAAATTGGGAAGTGGATTGATTTGGATGAAAAATTTTTTAATGGGAGATAAGTAATTCATTAAGGTGAATATAAAAATGGAAACAAGGTTGGTAAATGGGTTATTTTATTTGATTGGATAAGAACAAAATAAATGTAAGAATATTAATTAAAAAGTACATAAAATTCCTTTAGGGGTGGTGGACTATATGACTAAGAATGTAATGGAATGAAAATTGGTAATTGGATTGATTTGGATAAAGGATTTTACAATGGGAAATAAGTAACTCATCAAGGTGAGTATAAAACTGGTAAAAAGATTGGTGGATGGGATATTTGGTATAGAGATCATAATACTGGAAGGGATAAATAAATGTAATAAAATTGCATAATGTTATGTAATTTCTTAGTGGTGGTGGATCATATGACCAAAGTGGATTTGAAACTAAGATTGGGAAGTGGATTGATTTGGATAAAAGGTTTTATTATGACGGTTAAATAACATACAATGGTGAATATAAAGATGGGAAAAAAGTTGGTAGATGGGATATTTATTTCTTTAATAAATAGATGTAAAAAATATTATAAAAAAAAAAAATATGCGTTAGTGGAGGTGGATTATATGATGAAAGGGGATTTGAAACTAAAATAGGGAAGTGGATTGATTTGGATGAAAGTTTTTCTTTGGCAAATGAATTAACCTATAAAGGCGAGTATTAAAATGGTAAAAAATTTGGTAGATGGGATATTTGGTTTAAAGATTGCTAGAATGAAAGGAATTATTTAATGTAAATATACTGTATTAAGTAGTTTAATTCATTAGTGGGGGAGGATCATATGATAAAAGATGTGATGACATAAAGATTGGAAAATGGATAGAATTGGATAATAAGTTTAACTATTAAAACTAACTTATTTAAAAAGGGGAATATAATCATAGTAAAAAAATAGGTAGATGGGATATTTGTTTAATTTAGAAGGGATTAATTTTTGGGTTAAATTATGAACTAATGTATTCAATATTTTAAACATATTAAAATTTATTAGTGGAGGTGGATCATATGATGAAAGAGGTAATGGTTTTAAAAGTGGGAAATGGATTGATTTGGATGACTAGTTTTATAGATCTTAATTTACTTTTAGAGAAATAACTTTAGATGGGAATTATCAAAATGGTAAAAAAGTTGGAAGGTGGGATATTTGGCTCAAGGTTTGGGATAAAAAAGAAAAAAAAAAGATGTATTGATATTTTATAAAAATGTTTTGCGCATGTTTATCAGTGGAGGTGGATCATACGATGAAGGTGGAAATGGGATTAAGTAGGGTACTTGGATAGAAAATAATTAAGGATTTGATCATACTTGTTAAATTATTTATAATGGAGAATATTAAAATGGTTAGAAAGTTGGAATTTGGTTGCTAATGGATTTAAAGGAAAACTACAAATTGAGAGAAATTAATTATGAATATTGATATTATAATAAAATATCTCTTACACTCATTTTATAACCTTCATTTGTAATCATATTAGCAGTAAAAATACAATTAAAAGGCAATGCTTAGAATAATTTGAAGAAAATACTATTTGATTTCACTCTCAATATTTTAATATAGCCTATGCATTAATCAAATTTCAATAATTCAAGTAATACTCAAAAATTTAATACTAAAAATCACCAATTATTACATTTAACCATTCTTTTTTTTACTTCATAATTATTATCCAACACTATTATTTTAAGATTCCCATAACATTTTTCACAACTAAAAAATGGGAATTTGCTAAAATATCATATTTTAGTAGTTAATTATTAACAATAGGTTTCTAAAAATCTTGTTTAAATAATTTGTCTATATTTAAAAATAAATAAAATTTATGATAATAATTATTGCCTTAAGTACAGTAATTAATACATAAAAGGTATTCATATAAATAACAAAGGAGATGTTTATGATAGAAGAATCAAATTTATTATTTAAATACTTGAAACTCTAAAGCTAATCTCTCAGTTTCAGATTATAAATGATAAACTTATAATTTTTTAATTTTAGGAATATAATTGAATAACAGGTGTTTATGTATTTTTTAAAAAGTATATAACATTAATAATAGATTTAGTAATAATAAACAACAAAATTGATTTATTTACAAATTTGTTTCAAAACATATAAATTATATTAATCATTTAATTAACAATTTTCGATTAGTATTATTTCTTATTTTTTAATTCAATTCTCCTACTTAAATTATAGAATTTTTATTCTGAAAACCATTTAGTAAATTTACAATTCTCAATTAGAGATTTTGAATATTTGACAACAAAAATTGCTTCTTTATTTAATCATAAATTTTATGGTCTTATATATAAAAGAAAAATTGAGTTGATTTATGTATTATTATATCAATATTCAATCCAATGTCAAAACAAGGTTATTGATTATAAATTTTTTTTGCATACACTAATTCTAAACCCTTTTTAATATTTTACTTTGTAAGTGTTACTAAAATAAGATAAAATTAGTATTACCTTTGATAATCTCTTGAAATCAAGTTCCATACACCATGCTTCAATCCATTCTCATCAAATAATCCTCCATATCTATTTTTTATGTATTTTAATACTTGATTTTAAAATTAAAGCTATCTCTATCTATATTCATATACTCCCATTTACCAATTTTTAATCCATTTCTATATTCTCCAATAAATAGCATATATTTGATTCTATAATAAGAGTTCAGAAATACTTATATCTTTTACAATATTCTAACCACCAACCTTGTTTTTGACCATCTATATCAAACTATCCTCCACATCTTTGTATTTAATAAGTTCTTACATTGGTTTAAATTTGTCACAATATTTTTAAGTCTATTTTACATCCCATTTACCAAATTTCTTCCCATTTTTATATTCACCTTTCAATATTGTAATAAAATTATGATAAGAGCTCTATAAATTTAAATCTTACAAACGAGGTTTTTGTATATCAATCCATTCACCATATTTTTGGCCATTTAAGTCGTAGGATCCTCCACCACTATTTATTATTCATTATAAATTACATAATTGAATATTGAGGAGTATTATCTATTTATTATACAATATCCCATCTACCTATTTTTATACCATCTTTATAATCACCAAAGTCAATAAGAGATTCGCTATTAAATCTTTTTATAAATAAACTTTTTGAAATATGAACGCGATTCTAACCATTATCCTTACTTTATTCCATTCTAATCAAAATATCCACTTCCACTAAATTATATATTATAAATACATTTTTCTTTTTTAATTATCACGAGAAAATGACTTCCAATCTCCTACCTTTTTTCCATAATTATACTTCCCCTTAATAATGATCCCACTAATCTTTTAATATATAAAAATACTTTAATGACTTGTCAAAATAATTTTCTATCCAAAATCCATGCTTTGTCTAATCTTTATCAAATAATCCACCTCCACTAAGTATTAAAATTAATTTACATAATTTGAAATTCTTATTGACAGTATTAAATGAAGCCAATTCCTTCTTTATAATCATCAACTTCTTCTGTTTAATTCTAATTTTCTTAATTATTTGATTAAAATGAATTGCTTAAAATAATTAAAGTTTACTTCATATACATATCTACCATATAATTTTAGCTTGATGATCCAGAATAACTACAAATATCAATTAATAATTACCAATGAGAATTATTTATTGATTCATCAACTTAAAATAATAAAGTGTCCCATCTTCCAATCTTTTTGCCAAATTCATAATCACCATAATAAGTAACCAGCAGATAACTAAAGATAAATAACCAAAGTACTTATTAAAGTTTTCATGTAACTCCATCCATTTACCTTATTTAAATCCATTCTAATCAAAAATGCCACCACCACTTAAGTCTATAAAACATTTAAAATACATAATCATGACTTCATATTCGCCTCTCATATAATTTGTCTCCCATTTGTCAACTTTTATTCCATCTTTATAAAATCCAAAATAAGTTATTTATTTCTCACTACTATTTATTCAAATTAGATACCTATGAAATGTATCATGTATTTCAGTCCATTAACCCTGCTTGATTCCATTTTCATCAAACTATCCGCCTCCCCTTTTGTAATTATAAATAATTACAAATTCTTAGCTTCCTCTACTCTGTCAAGATGAAATATGGTATCCCATTTATCAATTTTCTTCCCTTTTTAATATTTACCAATAGAAAGAACAAATAATCCATCGTTATTGATTTAATCAAACTAAAATGAACATTACTCTATATCCATCCATAAGCCTTGTTGAAATCCATTTTCATCAAAACTACCTCCTCCACTAAACCGTTTATAATAAATTATACATAATAAAATATTAATTTTTTGAAGTCGATCCTTAAAGAATCTCCCATTTACCATATTTTTTTCCATTTTTATATTCCCCACAGTAAGCAAATATGTTAAATCTAATTATAAATTTAATTACACTCCATTTTAACTCTATACTTCTACCCATTTTCCATGCTTCATTCCATTTAAATTATATGAACCTCCACCACTATGAATCATATTTTTTCAAATACATAATTTTGTAATCATCAGTATCTGACTTCAAAAATAAAATATTCCATCTGTTAATCCTTAAACCTTTATTATATTCTCCAATATGAGTGAAGTGATAGTCATTATTTGAACTCAATTCCATCCATTTTCCAACTTTCACTCCTTCTTCATAAAATCCTCCTCCACTTCATGAATATCTTATAATAATTACACAATCTCAAAATCATTTTCTTATTTTTATAAAATATACCATTAACCACTTTTGAATCCTTTTTAATAAACACCGGAATATTTCACTTAATTTTTCCTATTTAGTATGACAATACTTAGAATAATTATTAACTAATTCCACCCATTATCCAATTTTGATTTCATTCTAATCATAAACTCCTCCGCCACTTTAATTATTAATAATATCTTACATCACTTCAAATTCAATAAAGTTGTCAAACTTAATTTTAGTTTCCCATCTACCAATTTTTTTTCCTACCTTATATTCTCCAAAGTAATGAGAAACTTGACTCTGGCTTTAAAATAATTATCATCAATACTTAGTTATACTATCATTCAACTCAATCCACCAACCATCCTTTAATCCATTCTTGTCAAATTATCCACCAATGCTATATTTAAAAATTATTGTACATTATTTCCGAATTCATTAAATTAATTAATAATTCTGAGAAAATAAATTATTAATGAACATATAATTATAGAAACTAATTGATTTAAAGAGATATACACAATAGTTCTAAAACTAATTAATTAGAACTTATATTTCTGAAACTTACTCTTCAAAAATCATAGGAACCTATAATTAAATTATCTAAAGACTACAATTCTAATTTAATTTTCTATCTATACTAATTAAGTAAAATGAAGATAACCTAAATTTAGAGTTCAATAATTCAGGTCTTAAGTACCAGAAGAACTCTTAGTTGATTATTTTGATTATTAGAACCTTAAATTTACAAAAACTAAAATCTAAATCTCACTTACGACTAATAAAGAAATAAAATATATAAGTTCTGAAGGATCTATTTTAAGAATGTAATTTATAATTTCATTAATATGAGTGATTATATTAAAGAGCCTTCAAAAAAATATGATCTGATAACTAATTTAGAATAGATTCAACACCTTAAATGGTAAGGAGAATTTGGGAAAAATGAAAAGAAAATTGGAAGATGGATTGCAATATGGAAGGGCTAAACTTTAGAGGCTGTTAACAGATGGTACTCTGAAGATGGATTATAGTCAGGGCTGTAGACTGAACTAATTAATAATTATTGGAGGTAAATTAATTATAAAAATTTCAAAGTAAAGCAGACATTTATGTTTATGGAGAATATTATAATCACTAAAAATAGGGTGTTTGGAAATTTATAATTTAGGATAACATGATGTATGAATGAAATTTTACTTAGTGTTGGGGGTTTGTATAAATAAGGTTAAAAAGTTGGAAAATGGATAGATTTAAATGACAGCGTCTAGAAGTATTGATTATTATTAATTTATTAGTTAGAATTAAATCGTTTATAATGGTGAATATAAAAATGGTAATAAGATTGGTTTATGGAATATTTTATATAAAAGTAAAGACTCTAATTACAAAATCATGTAAAATACATTTATTTATTTAGTGGCGGAGGATAATATGATGAGAATGGCTAAAAAAATGGTAGATGGATAGATTTAAATAATGTGTTCTGGAAGTAATCAATATTTATTTTCATTAATTAGTAAAAGTGAAGTTATTTATCATGGTTAATATAAAAATGGTATAAAGATTGGTAAATGGGATACCTATTCTAGAGTTGATTAAAATTAACCTTTTAAAAAGACGTAAATTTGCGCAAGATCTTTATTAGAGGTGGGGGGCTATATGATGAGCAGGAAGGATAAAAATATGGTTAATGGATAGAATTAAGTAATAGTTTTTATAGGTATTGGGTTGAATTAATAAAATTTGATTAGCGAGTGCTAAATATATTATAAGGGAGAATATAAAAAAGATAAAAAGATTTCAAAATGGAATATTTTATATAAATTTATTAATACACCATTATAATAGATGTAATTTGTTAATGAAGATTAATTTATTAGTGGTGGTGGTTCTTATGATCAAGAAGGGTTGCAAAATGGAAGATGGAAGGAATTGAGTACTAACTTTTGGAAGTAATTTAGTTAATATTATTTATTCTTTAGTAAAAGCGAAATTATATATAGTGGGGAATATAAAAGTGGTGTTAAAATTGGAAGATGGGATATTGTTTATGGTATTCTCTAAATGTATATTTATTATCTTTTTGATTAGCGGCGGTGGTTCTTATTTGTAAGGATAAAAGGACGGTAAATGGGTAGAAATAAGTGATAATTTTTATGAGTATAGAGTTTAATACTAAATTCTTTTAGTTATAGTTAAGTAACTTATAAAGGCGAATATGTTTCCACAAAGAAAAAGGGAATATGGAATATCTTTTATAATGATTAATAGATGTAAAATTTAGACAATTATAATATTTGTTAATAGAGGTGGTGGATCATATGATTATTAAGAAGGTTTGAAGAATGGAATCTGGATAGAATTAAGTAATAATTTCTATAAGTATTAAATTATTATACTCAATTAAGTTCAAGTAAAGTCATCTATAAGGGTGAATATAAAAGTGGTATTAAAATTGGGATATGGGATATATCTTTCAAATAGCATTCCTATTAAAATTGGGAAATAATGTAAAATCTAAATTTCTAACTTTTATTTAATAGTGGAGGTGGTGAATACGATGATTTAGGATTAAAAATTGGTGAATGGGTTGATATAAATGATGATTTTTGGGAGTAATTTATGATTTTATTTTGTTAGTGAAAGTTAAGTTACATATACTGGGATTTATCAGAATAGTAAAAAAGTAGGTACATGGAGTATCAGATTTAGAGATAGTTATAGAAAAATATGGAATTTAATGTAATATTATTTGATATATTATATGTTATATAGTGGAGGAGGTGAATATGATGAAAATGGTTTAAAAACTAATAAATGGAGGGTTTTAGGTGATAATTTTGGAGAGTAATAATACAGATTTTATAGGAAATTAATTAAGTGAAAATTAAACAACATTTGCTGGTTAATATAAAAAGAATAAAAAAGTAGGAAGATGGGTTGAATTTAGATATGGACATGAATAAAATGTCTTCGTATATAATGAAAATGGAAAAAAGATATATTGAATAAAATAAAGGAATAATTATTATAACATTTACATTTATAGACAATATCAATTCAAACTTTATATTCTTAGAACCTTCTTATACAAACTGATCTAATTTACAAAATTACTAATAATTATTAAATATGTAGTAGTAATCAAAAAAATAGGGATTTTTATTAAAATATCTTTTTCTAATTTGATTTAAATATAGTAAACTAATTATAAGGTAAAAATATAGGAATCTAAATTTTTTTTTAATTTATGGAATATCTCTCATAATTCTAAATTAAGAGAAAATATATGTGATTCTATGCAATGAGAATTAAAAAAAAATATTAATAACTTTTATTAAAATAATTTGTATAAAATTAAAGATGCATTATCAACAAATAATTTCTAACTTATTGATTTCTAAAATAATAAGAATTTTATTATTCTAATTACTCTGTTAATTTTAAAGATATGCCTTAATTACATTGACGATTTTTCAAAACTTTATCAAAATAGAAAAAGTAATTTGAATAGCTTAACTGTTATATAATCTAAATTTACAATAATAATGAGCGTATTTTAGAAAAAAAACTCTAGTTTTGCCATTATTCATTATTTGGAAGCATAAATTTCTTTGGATTTTATTTGATAACATAGGATTTGATTAAAGCATAAAATCTAAATTCAGAAAATATTATTATTATTTTTTAATTTAATAATTAAAAAAGGTATATAAAAATATTTATGCTCATCTCATTGAATTTAATAAGAGATTCTTTGTTTATGAGACATCCTATGAAAATTATTATCTAAATTTTTCTTTATAGATGATTATTTTTAACTTAAATATTATTGTCATCCTGTATAAATAATACATGAATTTAGTCTTTCATAGTTTGATATCAATATCTGATCAATTTGCAATAAATTTTTATAAAAAAGGGATAATAATTAATGTAATAGTAATGAATTAATAAATAATTATGTGAATAAGGTATTGCAACTATTTATTAGATATATCAGAAAAGGTACTATAGAGAAAAATAAGATATTACTTTAAAAGTGAAGGGGCTATATTCTACGCAAATTGGATATTAAGAAATCTAGTTTCATTAGAATCCAGTAAAAATAAATTAATGGAAAACATAAATCAGCAATGATAATAAAATCTATTCATTTAAGAGTAAATGCAAAATAAAATATATCAAATAATATAAAGTTCACAAATAATTGTAAATCTCATATAATTATAAATTTAATGAATTAAATCGAGATCTAGATATTCAATAAATGTATGTATTTTCAATATCAATATTACAATTAAATTGTAAAATCCTTCATAACTTATTCTTTATAATACAACTTTATGAAATTAATTATTTTATTTGATTATAGTCAAAAAAAATAAATTTTTTGGTACACATACAACAAATATCCAGTAAAGTTTCTTTATTAATCCTATAAATTTTATTAATTAATTACTCATTATTTGAAATATTTGAAGGTTAAATTGTCTATAATTCTTTTTTCTTTAATGAAGAAAAAATTTCATACTAAAAAATAACCAATCAAATTCATTTAACGATTATAATTTGGTATTACGTTTCAAATTCAAAAAATTCTTTATAATTTTATAAAATTTTTCACAAAGAAATAAAATATTCAAAAAAATTATAGATTCTGGTTAAATGAAATTAAAAAATTAGGTAGCTATGATAATTATTCGAAGCAAACTGTGCAAAAAAAAATATTTTTCTCAACTATAGAATGAACTTAGGAATATAATAGTGTTAAAAGATAGATCATCTTAAAAATCCCATTATAGGAATATGTACAGACAGAGTTTGCTAAAGCTAAAGGCTTTACTGCTTTTTATGTATTGAAAACCATAGAGACCATCTAAATAGTTTAATTCAATATGATTGGCTTCGAAATTAGATGGTCTCAAGTATTTAAATTATAAAGGAAATCTCATTTAACATATAGGAATGTCATTAAGTTATACATATATTAAACAGCTTTATTAAGTCTGCTGAAGACTGCATCTTGAATAATTTATAGGAATTTCAAATTGAAAATTTGGATTAATAGATTAGTTAATTTAGAAAATTAGGATAAGCTTAGGAAACTTTATTACCTTAATTAAGTGAGTTGATAAAATTATTAAGGTTGATGGGAAAAGAATGGGAAAACTTAGAGAAAAGACATAGTATAGAAAATGATTTTGGAGTATAAAATAAAATATAACAAACTAAATTGATTTAGAAATAATATTGTGATTAGAAAGAATCAATTTAATCTTTAATAAATAAGCATAATTAATTATTAGTAAGATTTGAAGAGAATTATTAATGTAGATATGTTGATATCCAGCAATATGGAAAAATTGTGTAAGGTCAAGGTTTATTTTTTGGAAATTAAATGATTCCTAAGATTGGGATAACAAAATTTACATTAAAAATATGGGATGTTAAGGCTTTTGTTAATATTGGTGTGGGTGATAAAGATACGATTGTTAGAACCAATTACGCTCCTAATTTAAAATTTATTGGACATGGGTAAATAAAATATCTAACTTAGAGCATACTTAATAAGTAATTAAGGTTACAATTATACTCATTTATCCAAAACCTAAAATGATGTTTAGCAATCATTCATTTTTAATAAATATGATGTTATATTAATAGAAATCAACATGAATCTCAAAGCAATATTTTGGACTAAAAAGTCAACTCTTTAATAATTTGTAAATTTATGTATTTTACATTATTAGTAATTAGAAATAAATAATGAATAAGATTTATATCCTCTGATTATATTACACGGCAAAGTTGAAGTTTTAGATAACTTTTGAATTAAAAATAATAAATAATTCTTAATATGTAAATTTTCATAATTTATTAATTGATTTTTTTTTAATTTAAAAGAAAGATATTTTAGTTGTTACAAAAATTTATCAATATAATTTATCAAGTACTTAAAAATTACACACTTATTTATATAAATGAAAAACCTTAAAGAATTAAATCAATTCAATTAAGATTATTTATCACTCGAAATCCAAATTTAAGATTGTTATATTAAAGTATATAATTTTTATGATTTTAGTTTATATTTATTGTATAATAAATAATGTTACTTGTTTTATAAAATTTTAGATTTAATCATCAAAGTTAAGATAATATTAATATTGCTCTCATTTTAAGGAATAAGTTAGTATAATTATATTTATTCGACCTAAATTATATTACTTATGATGACATTAATAAATAACTCTTATTTATTATTGTTATGTTATTAATTAATATAGAATCTTAGTATTCGTTTGATTAATGAAATAAATAATTTGTTGTTAAGGTGTTTTTAAACTTCATAATATTTAATAAATCATTTAGATTATATTAATTAAAATCGGACTGAATATTGATTTTTGGTTGATTTGAAGAACGGTTATTTTAATTGTAAATATTGTGAATCATTTTTTTAAGTTAGTATGAATATTAGATTAAATTTGTCTTATGAAATTATTTTTACAAATTATGAGTTATGAATTTTTAAACAAATCTAAGGTATTTAATTTATTAGATTTGTATAAATTTTGAATAGAAGAAAAACAAATTTATAAATTTAACAAACAATCGAATAGCAATACAATTTTAATATATTTTCATGATCTATGTAATATGTGCTTATAAATAAATCAGTGTTTAAAATTTATGTTGAGTAATGTTTAATATTATGTTTATTTGATTATGTTTAATTAAAATAATTAAAATTTATTTTTCAATCATATAAATATTAAATAATGCTTATGAATTTAAACATTTTAAATGTTTAATTATAATAGTGAAAATGAATTACTTAAATAAATTAATACAAAATAATTCTTATAATTGTAAACATTTTATAATGTTTAATTAAAATAGTATAAATAAATTACTTAAATAAATTGATATAAAATAATTATCTATATTTATAAACATTTTATATTAAATAGATTAACAAAAGAATATTTTTATTTAAATTTAAATTTTGGGAATAGTTGTTATTTATTTATTCATAAGTTAGATACTGCTAGGCTTGAAAAACTAGCATTATATATTAAGAAAAACTGATAAATATTAGAAATTTTATTCCAGCTGATAATAATCTTCTGAAAAACTATAATTTTCTTTTTTAAACATGTATGGATAAAATAATTGTTTGTATATAGTATGAATGAGTAAAATAGCAATCGCAAGTTTATTATTAAATTGATTATTGTCCTCATTTAAATATCCTTATTCTCCTAATTCATTTTTGAAATTGATTCAACAAAAATGCAGATCAATTCAATTGAAAATAGTTTTCGATCAGTTTAAGTTTAATAGGAGAGTTAGTAGTTGCGATTTATTAAATGGGGTTTTGAAGGTTCTATTAAGAGCTATTTTAATATGATTAGTTGATTTAATTATTGCATTATTCTCTATTGAACATATTATAATTATAAAATGAATNTAAATGTTTAATTATAATAGTGAAAATGAATTACTTAAATAAATTAATACAAAATAATTCTTATAATTGTAAACATTTTATAATGTTTAATTAAAATAGTATAAATAAATTACTTAAATAAATTGATATCAGAGGGAACATTAAAGAATAATATATGATTACAAGAACTGCTGTAATTTAAGAAGCTAAAATTTAGCTTTCTTATGAAAAATTCTACCATTCAGACTTATAACAAAGAAATGGATCCTTTATATCCTTCCACTGATTAGATATAATAATATTGCTATATGGTTATAAAGTAAAAGCTAAATTAAGAAATGGTAAACCTTAAAAAGAAATTCTTTTAGGACTTTATTAGGACTAGGGAAACAATATCCTAAAGAAGTCATTGATAAAATAATTGGTTTATTAGAAGTCGACATCAACTAAAAAGGCTATTTCAAAAAACAAGCTGAATACGATTTATTTAGGAAATACATTTGGATGGAAGAGGCTTAAGTGAAAGAAGATACTCCCAAAAGAAGAATGTAATTTCAGGACCATTAAATGCTGGTTTATTTCTATCAATTTGCCAAAGGTCCTATTAAATAAAAACTAAAAAAATAGAGAATGAAATAACAATTATGATATTTGAATTAATTGTTCTTTTATACTAGAAAGGATTTCGAATTTATTTTATAATATTTTTTTATTGATTTTCTTCAATTATTTTTTCACTATTTATTAAAACTTATATTAAATAGATTAACAAAAGAATATTTTTATTTAAATTTAAATTTTGGGAATAGTTGTTATTTATTTATTCATAAGTTAGATACTGCTAGGCTTGAAAAACTAGCATTATATATTAAGAAAAACTGATAAATATTAGAAATTTTATTCCAGCTGATAATAATCTTCTGAAAAACTATAATTTTCTTTTTTAAACATGTATGGATAAAATAATTGTTTGTATATAGTATGAATGAGTAAAATAGCAATCGCAAGTTTATTATTAAATTGATTATTGTCCTCATTTAAATATCCTTATTCTCCTAATTCATTTTTGAAATTGATTCAACAAAAATGCAGATCAATTCAATTGAAAATAGTTTTCGATCAGTTTAAGTTTAATAGGAGAGTTAGTAGTTGCGATTTATTAAATGGGGTTTTGAAGGTTCTATTAAGAGCTATTTTAATATGATTAGTTGATTTAATTATTGCATTATTCTCTATTGAACATATTATAATTATAAAATGAATTTAACACACTATGAATTTGATAGATTATCATTTAAGAACTTCTTTTTTAGAATGAAATAAATTTAAAATTAATAGTGTATATATTTGATTTCATATATCTTCTTTGTAATTTTAATATTTTAAATTTTAATAGTGAATTATTTTACAATTATGCTGTAATAATTATTAATTACAGGTTTAATTATAAGAGGATTAGGGCTTTATTTAAACGAGTAATTATATATTATATGAAAATCTAATTTATATATTACAAAACAATTAAGATTTTATATGTAATGCTTGATTATTAAGATTTATAAGCTTGATAATATACATTTTTTTTCTTATTAAAAATAAAAAAAACAATAGTTATTATTTTGATTCTAAAGCTATTTTTCAAATGATTTTTGAACATAATAATTTATATAATTCAATGTAAATCTATGTATAGATGCCAAATGGAAAAACTATATTAATAGATGTTTAGTTAGATAAGACCAAAGTGAATGATGTAAAATAGAAGGTGATGGAAAAATCAGGATTAAGATTAGAGGATATCATTTTAGTTTATAAAGAGGAAATATTGAGAAATGATTATTTATTGAAGCAATACGGAATAGATAAGGAGGCTAAAATTGATGCCGAGACAGCAGAAACACTAACTAAAAATTTTAAATAGAAATTAGGTATTTAATAAAATATTGTTCAAAAGATGCACTTGAAAATGAGATACAGAGATGGCAATAAAAGTTTGGAGAAGAAGGAGCATAGAAGGAGGAATTGTAAGAAAGATTGAAAGAAAGTTCAAACAAATTAGATGAGTAAAATTAATATTGAAAACTAGGGTTAAATAGGAGAAAGAAATATTACAAAGAGATTTTAATTAAGTGAAAAACTAGCTTGAATAATTGTAAAAGAAAAATGCTTAAAATGCAGATTCTCAATAATCCTAAATATCAACATAGTCATTTTTGGGAAATGATTTGAAAAACTTAGAAATAGAATTAGCATCTTATAAAGCAATTGTAAGCAGATTTGATATGGAGAGAACAGAATTAAATTCATAGATTGCCTATTTCAAATAAGAAAAAATAGATTTACAAAAGAAAGTGGAAGACTATTAAAAATTGAAAGAGGATTTGATAGGAAAGACTTTTGAAATAAAAGGATTATAAAAAGATTTAGATTTTGCTAATAGTCGTGGAAGTTAAACAAAAGATGAAATAAATAGAGAATTGGATTTCTCAAGATAATAAATAAGGTATGTAAAATAATTAAATATTAGAAAATTGGAATAACAATTAGAAGAAGTAAAAACAAAAAATCAAGAACTTGAAGTAGAAAAGGTGAAATAAGAATTGAAAATTCATATAGATTCATAATAGGTAGAGAAATTAAATGAATTACAATCTTAAAATTCTCAATTAGAGAAAAGAATTGCAGAATACAAGGCATAAGTGACTAGTTTAAATGATTAAGTGAGATTATTGTAAAATAGAAGTTAAGAAGAAATGAGAAGTTCGATAAGGGGAACTGATTTTGCTTCTGCTGAAAAGATTCAAGTAAACATAATTATAATAGATATAGGGTTATGAATTACAAATTAATAGATTGAATGCAGAACTTAAGTCTTCTTAATAATCATTTAATGAGAGTTAATAATGTCTATCAGCTGCAAAGAAACAATGTTTTGATAGTGATAAGAAGATAATGGAATTGGAGAAAAGTGTGGAAAGTCTTACATATTTATTAAAGGAAAAAGATAGAGGAATTAAAGAGAGAGAACAATCTATAAAATAATTAAATATTGAATTAGAAGAAACAAAGAAAGATCTAATAATATATTAAAAGAATTTAAGTGATTTTAAATAGATTGCTCAATAAGCAGATCCAAAAAAAGTATTAGAGATAGATAGTGAAGCATTAAAAGTAGAAGAGAAGTTGAAGGCAAGAGAAGAGTAAAGAAATAAAGAATAAAAGCGATTAGAATAATAAAGATAGGAGGAATTACTTGGAAGATAAGAAAAATTAAAGTAGGAATAATAATAATACTTTGATTTGATGTAGAAGGGTAAAGAACAAAGGTAGAAAACAGCTTAATGTATATTAATTATATATCTTTAGTTTTAAAGAAATAGATGTTAGAAAGTCATGGTAAGATTGAGGTTTGTTTTTTGATTGATGTAACAGGATCAATGGATCCATATAAAGAGTAGGCAATGAAATGTATAAAGGAGAGTATGAAAAATATAAAGATTAAAACAAATAGAGATGCTTTATGGGCAACTGTTGCTTATTAAGATTTTGGAGAATTGAAATAATTAGGAGGATTATACAAGTAACTAAATTTCACTCCAAATCCTAAAGAAATAGAAGAATATTTGGCAGATATTCCTTGTGTAGGAGGTGGAGATGCAGCAGAAGATATTAGAGGAGGTATAATGTAAATGATTAAGAATTTACATTGGAGTAAGACATTCAAGATTGCTCTATTGATTTGTGATGCTCCTACTCATGGTAAGAGATATAATGGTGGAGTAAGTGATAGATATCCAAATGAAGATATTGAAGATGCTATTAATTTACTTATAGATCATAACATTTTATTTGTTGCTATCCTATTTAATAAAGTGACATTACCAATGTTTGAAGAAATAAAGAAAATGTATCAACGTGCAGATAAAGAAGAATTATTATTATTTGCAGATTTAGAAAATACAGAATAAGGTAGAATATGGTAGGAGCTTGTTGATTTGGTTTCTTAAGCATCCTAAAGAGCAACTCAAACAAATAATAAAGGAACTAGATCTAAAAATAATCAGGCTAATAAAAGATCATAGTCTGGTGCTATGGAAGCACTTTGCAAATAGATCAAGGATCCATTTTAGTTTGATAAATTGTCAGGTGTTACAATCATTCCAGTTAAGTTTGGTGTTTATAGAGTTGAATTGAAATAAGATTCATTTGAATAAAATATAGAAAATCTTAAGAGACTTGACATTAATAGGGATTATAGTGTTTATTAAGAAGGATAATGGGATTGTATTAGAACTGAGAAATACTTTGCTTAGGGTTAGATGAAATAAGTGTTTTTAATGAAGAGACAAAATAATTAAAATGAATTATATGTGATCAAAATGCCAATAGGGGATTTAACATATTCGAGTCAAGAATAAGCTGTTGTAGAATGCAGATCTCATCTTATATCTAAATGCTTAATGAAGAAGTTTATAAGGGAATTACAAGAGGCAAGAGATAAGATTGACAGATCAATGAAGATTCCAGAAGTTCAATATTCAGACTTTTTAATTTTGAAGGATTTAGAAAGGGGAAGTAAGAATATTAATATTATTTGTAGATTCATTTTGGATTGCAGAAAGATACTTTACAGGTGAATTTGTCAAATATAATAATAATTATGGTTTTATTTCAGATGAAAATTCAGATATCAATCATTTAGCTTAAGCTTACACATATTATACATATTTCATTTCAAATTTTAATTATATGGTTAATGATGTTTAAGGAGTTGGAAATTATTTCACAGATCCTGCTTTGAATACAAAAGATAGTAATATAAATAAATATTCTAGGTAATTTTGATGAAACCGATATGGGAATAGATGGATAATCAATGTATATGGTAAGTTATGAAGGAAAAAAGCATATGGGAAGAAAATACTTAGACTTGCTAAGTATACCATAACCATGAGTTATTAATAAATAATATATATCATAAAAATATTCATTATTCTGGTAATTTATATGGTTTTTTAAATGCAATTTTAATGGAGGGATCCTGTGTTACAAGTTGAGTTAAAGTATTAGTCATCTTTTATGATAAAAATATTTATGCTTGCAAATATTTTGATAAGCAATTTTCTAAATTACCTAATTCACATACTTGAACAGGTTTCTTCATCAATATTCAAATAAGATATAGACATATCTTTTACACATTGTTTGAAACAACGCTTTTATTCTGAATATCCAGTTGTTGATGGATATAAAGTAAGATCTGGCAAATCTAAATCACTAATATCAGGACCGTGCATTAATTAATTAAAATATATAAAAATATTTATTAAATTTTCACATACAATCTACTAAAGCTTTAGATAAATATATCAATTGAACTTCAATTTTGGCAGCAATAGTTAATAAAGTTATATGACATATTTCATCTGCACTTAATTTTAAAGGTATAATATCTAGATGTTTCTTTTATAATAAATTTGGTGTCAAACTCACAATCTTTATAAAAGCCTTAAGTTCTTTAGGTAATAATTTATTCATCTTTATAATTGTGTATATAATTTACCTAAGTTGAATAATCAATATCATCATGTTAATATCGATAAATATTTTAGGCATATACTCTTATTGCCTTTCTAAAAGCTGCAGTAGTGATCTATTATTCTTTACCAAATGTATTTCTAGTCATTTATTTGACTTCCAATAAAAAATCATGCATTTTCTATGCTCCTTCTGGATATACTTATTTTAAAACAGGATAACTGTTCATTTAAAAATTGTATTCCTATATTATATAATAATGATGAGTACAGAAAATCGCAAGATTTAATATCCAGTTGAGTCTTTGATTTCATCATTTGTAAAGTACTTTTAAAATTTCTCTTTAAATTTCAATATCAATTATTCTTCATCTAAATCAGATATTTCTTAAGGTTCATCAATTGATTATTATTTTGATTTAACTTAAATGATTTTATCAGATGAACAATTTTAATTATCTAAGAGTGCTTAATTTTTTAATTCTTAAATGATATATTCATTTTATGTTAAATCAATTTGTTATTATTATTATTATTCTTAAGGTAATGTAAAACTAATACTAGTATTACCAGATTATAGATTGAGAGTTTAATCTATCTCTTTTAGGATACCATTACCTTAAGAGAAACATCCAATATTATTATAAAAAATGAATATCATCAATGCTTAAATCAATTCTCTTTTATTCCACTTATTATTCTTTAATATCTATTATAATGTATTTTTAAGAGATTATTCCCATGGTTTTTAGACAAGGATTTTACATATAGTATTTAGAGATTTGATTTTTTCATCAATACTTTCATATCCTAAATCTACCCAATTTTTATCACCTTCATTCAAATAAAACTATTAGATTAATAAATCATATAACTAATCACTTCCTGATGCTGCAGCTCCCTAATTAGATTATGATTACTTTATTACCATGATTGCAAAATAATATTTTTCATCTTATGATAATTTAGTTTAAGTATTTAATAAACTATCTAACACATGAAAATATGGTTTTATTAATGATGGAAACCATAATAATAATATTTCATGTAATGCTATTCTCCCATAGTTAAGATTATATAGTTTAATCAATTATTCTTATAATTGATTAGAATTTACATCACCAATAATAGGCCAAGGCAGATTTTTTATTTTACTATCCAAATATTGATTTAATATTGGAATTTGTGGCAAATATTTTTAATCATGGAATTTAGATACTCTAAACATTTTAGTCTATTTTGAAATTCATTTTTACTTATAAATTATAATCTTTAGCAATGTTATCATAACAATCAATAATTGATTACATAGGAGTTTAATTAATAACCATAGTAATCTTAGATTCAATCGCAGATAAGATATTTAGTTCATCTTTGTAATTATTGATCAATGTCTCAAATTATTACAAACACTAGTCGAGCTTACAATTATGTATTAATCGCTACATGTTCACCATCTTCTTATGTATTTGTGAGATATTCTGGGAATGCAGATCTGATTTCTTAGCTCTCTTATTCCATAAATAATGATATATTTAATTATATAATTATTTTATAAATAATAGCACGTGTTAGAATTATATTATTTATAGATCCATCTATAATCATCTTGTCTAATAATTTATAACATTGTCTTATATATATTTATCAACTAAGTAAATATAAAACCATAATCGAATTATAAATTATTATAAAAAATTGATTAAGTTTATTAGTTAATATATATATATATATATATAAATTATTATTATTATAAAATGTAGTTGTAATGAATAGTCATAATCAAATTTGAATAAAATTTGGAGACTCCAATAAATAACCTTATTCATTTTAAGCAGCTATCTAAAACATTTCTTTGTTTTCAAAAGAAATATATACATTACTATTTTTAATTTTTCTTCGAGAACTTAATTATTAAGATTAGGATATTGAATCTAATTGATTCTAACGATTGAAATAATTATTAAGCATAGTTTTAATTTTACTTAATTATTTTAATCTTTCATCTATATATTACTTTTACTGATTAAATTCATTATTTTTAATAATTTATAAATATCCAGATAATTTATCTTTGTATTTTCTCATTATATACCTTTAATGATATAAAATAATAATATACTTAAAAGGTTTAATCTACATATTGTTCAAGATGTTTTATTAATTTTAAGCAATATCCACCTAGATTGAATTTAATTCTTCTTGAATATCTTGAAGTTATTAGGACTTTTCATTAGACTATAACTAATTAATTAGTTTCAATGATTTTTTATGAATTGATGTTAACATTTATTCCAATTAATATTGTAAATTATTGTATTTAATTTCATAATCGTTGTTTTGAGATATCTAAACTATATTATTGCATTCATTTAATAAAGATTTGATGGCCTACTAAAAATTATCTAACTATTATTATTTATATTGATTTTCATTATTTTCATCTTAATCTATGGAGAAAGCATCTTCACATAGTGATTTATAATTAGGTTAATTAATGGATAGATTTTCTGTAAGTGAATTCTTATGGTGAATAATGTTCATCTTTTAATTATTCTTACAATTGAGGATAGAAAATTCTTAACAATAAATTTTATTTTGATTTCTCAAATTAGAATCAAAAAATTAAGCCTCCAATTAAAAGAATGCTTACTTTTTTTGGTTAATGGAATGAACATTGTAAAGACTATTAAGGCAATGATTTTTATTTAATGGAAATAGGGGATTGAGTCAACTTCTTTTGTCCAATATTTTATGATAGACTAACTTTATTTTTATTTTTTGTGTTTGTTTTAGTCAATAATTAATAGATTAATTTCTAAGGTGATAAATGTTTCTATTATTTTATTTCTATAAATATAATTAATTAAATATACTTTTTAGTTCATTTTGACTTTTATATAATTCGATCATCTTATTGACTTCATTAAATATATTTTCTTTATTTAATTAATTGAATGATTCTATTATGTTACAATTATTATATTACCATATTATTATGAAAGAAAATGATGATCTATTCTACTATTATGTTAACTCATTAATTCGTTAGTTTAATATAATAATAAATTATATAAACATTTTTTATATTTTATAACAATTACAAGATTAAATAATCATAATCAGAAATATGTTAATTACATATAATATAAATTAAATTCTGTAATTTATTAGAATTCTAGTTTATATTATGAAGTATTACATAAAAACTATGATAATATTTTATAATAATAATTTAATTTAACTCACTTCATAATGATAATTGCTAATGAAACATAATTACTTTCAAGCTAAAGCTAGTAGAACATTGAATTTTAGGTTTAAAATACTGTAAATAATTAAATTCATGTATATATCTAATATAATCAATTTAGATATATAGATAATTAAGAGCTAATGATTCATAAATATAAAATAATAGTTTTCATTATGATGATCTTGATCCATAAATTAGAAGAAAATGTCTTAATTTACGTAATAAAATACATTTTGAAAATTAAAAAGATGAACTAGAATTTGAAGATATTATAAAATAATGGAATTAAAGTCTTTAATAAAATACTAGATTAAATTAAATGGTTACCGAATAATTAAATTAATAATATCAAAATAATTAATATTAAACAGATTTTCCAGTTTCAAAGATTCATATCCTAGATTATGAAGAAAATCAACCAATAACTTCATTCTCATTATTTACATCAAAAGATTTGATTATTGAGAATCTTATATTATAAGATATTCCTTTAGAGAAATCTACATAAACAGATTATCCTAATTAGAAAGATGATAAATTTACATAAACAGATTTAATAGATATTGATAAAGATGATACTGAAAATGTAGTTGAATTTTTTAATTCTTCATTCTACAAAGATTTAAAAAATAAATAATTTTTAATCGATGCTTAATTAATTGTAAATATATTTATGATATTATTCTTAAGTCATTGATTTAGACTATGTTTCTTATGCATAATGAAAGAAAAATATAAATAAATGAACCAATTAAATAATAATTAGATTTATTAATGAAAAAGATTCAGAAGAAAGATTAGATTAATTATAATACTATTGTTATCATAAAGGATAGTGTAGATATATGATATTATTTTATTTATCTATAAAATATATCTATAAAATTTTCATATCAAATAATCTTTAAAATAATTAGTACTATTGTAATATAAAGTGAAAATCAATCTAAAAATGTTCCATTCATATGAATATTGAAAAAAGCTCTTAAAAACATACTACAAGTTCCAATAGTTCTCGTAGTTCTTCGTAAATATAGAGATTTAATCTTATCTAATTAGTAAACCAAGATCCAGATCAAGATCGAATAGCCAAAGAAGAGATAGAAAGACTGAAAAGACTGAATCCACAGATGATAAATAAGGAAGTGATTAAAATGTAAAGATTGAGTCTAACCTACCTTAATCTGCTAGAGGAAAGAGATAAGTAAGAAAAATCTAATATCAATTGTTAACCTATATTAAAGATTTACCTAAAAGACCTCCCAAATGTCCAAATTATCCATAGTAATTTAGAGAAGTCAATTTGGTTACCAATAATTTTAGTGTTCGATCTAAAAGAAATGGAGTTATTGTTGTTTATTCAGTGAAGTTTTTACCATTTATAGATCCGTAATAAATTTCAATTAGATATTAAGATAAAATAACAATCTAAAGAGAGAAATTATTAAAAGTTAAGAAGAGGCCTTGAGAGAATTCTTAGGACCTTTTGTATATTATAGCAACACTATTATAGGAGGAAAAGAATCTGCAACTTTTAATTTTAAATTAGAAAAGCCTATCAAATTTGAAGAGTAAATTTGTTAAATTATTATTTATATAGTTAAGATTACTACTTAGAAATTAAAAAAGTCAAAGTTATTAATATGCAAGATTTAGAAAATCCAAATCCAATAGAAGCTGATAAACCATTAATGTTTTTTAACTATTTGATTAAAGATTTCTTCAAAAATTTAAAATATTAAGAACATGGTAAAACTAGAAAATTTCATGTATATAAATAAAATCTATTTATAATTTTAGGATATATCCAGAAGATAACCTATTCCTGAAACAGAATTATCTGTGATTCCTGGATTTGCTGTGAATTTTTAAACAAATGAATAAGGATTTAGTTTTAAAATTGATATCAGTCATAGAATTATCAGAACAACTACTGTGTTATAATATATTGATTAAATTTGGAAAGAATAATCAAATAAGTAAAATAGAGAATTATAGAATTAGATTACAAAAAGAAGAGTTAAGAAAGTATGTAGCACATGTAATGACCAAATAAATGGTACTTGCCAATTATGGAACATATAGAACATATTCAGTTGATAATTTATTATTTGACTAAAATACAGCAGAATTTTCTATTGAATTAGCAGATTCAAAAGGAAAATAATAATTTATAACAATGGATTAATATTTTAAATAAAGATATAATTATGATATTAAGAATAAGAAAGCTCCTTTATTAGTAATTGAAGATACAAAAACAAATAGAAAAGTATATTTAGTAGCTGAATTATGTATAATGGCAGGTATTCCAGATAATTTAAATGAATTTACAAGAAAATAAATATAAAAAGAATGTTAAACTAATCCAAAAGATAGATTTGAAAAAATAAAGAAAATGTTATTTGATTTAATCAATCGATAACCTTAAACAGGATTAACTATGTAAAAATTAAAAGAGGAATTTGGTATTGATATAAATAGTGCTCCTTAATATGTAAAAGCAAAATAACTAAGACCACCTAATATAGTATTTGGAAATTAAAATGTTATGCCTTAAGGAGACAAAGAAAATTTTTCATTTAATTGTAATAACTAATCTGCTTTTATAAAAAGATATGAAGTTAGAATTGCTATAATTTCACCATTTGATTTTGATTGTGAAGAATTTACATAGAATATTCATGAATTAATATTAAAATATGGAATAAAAATGGGTGTACAAACTAAATGCCATTATTTAAGTGGATAAAGGTAAAATTATATTGCTGAAATTGAATAAACTATAATGAAATATGTACCACATACTACTAATATGATTGTTATTGTACTTAATAGATACATGAAAAATTGTTATGCTCCATTAAAAAAAATGTGTATGTCTGAAAAATTTGGAGTTCTTACTTAAATGGTATCAACTGATTCTATTTCAAAATAAAAAAAAGGACTATTTTCTATTATTCAAAAATTAGCTATTTAAATGATGGATAAAGTTGGAAATTGTTTATGGACTGTTTAATTGCCTTAAGTATCTATTTAAATTATATTAGAAATGGCCTGATAATACTATGATTGTTAGTGTTATTATTGAAAAAGGTAAATTTGCTGGTATGTTATCAAGTCTTGATAAATCATATTCAAGATATTATAGTTAAATGAGTACAAAAATTGTTGAAAAATGTTTAATTAAAGATATTGGAGATATGATGAAAATATCATTCTTGTAATACAAATAAGAAAATGGTTGTTTCCCTCAAAAAATCAT